AACAATTTGTCTACGAGGAAAATATTTTTAGACTACCATTTCTAAAATTAACCATCAGACCTAATCACCAACTTTAATCGAAGTCCATTTCACTACATAGTCAAGTCTTATCTACAGACCACTGAAGTGAGACCACGTGAATACAGTAAAAATGAAAAATACATTTTTAACCAAAAATGCTTATTGTAACATGCAAATAACCCTTCAAGCTACAAGCGCGAGTCAGATAATTTATTTTTTAAACACAATCAGAATACCACTAAACGAAAACGACTGGCCTACCAGCACCAACTCGACGTTTACGGGCTAAGCTTTATCCATCTACTTTTACAGTAGCAAGTCTAAAATATTAAGCACAGATGTCTTTTTAGAACTCTGTTCTCGAGTGCCACATATTTATTACAGCAATTTACAAGGAGTAGTACTTTCAATCACCATTTCAACTCATAAAGCTTGCTCATGGAATATGAAAGGCAAAATTCTAAATCAGCTTTCCAAGCTGAACAAGTATCACTTTTATAGAAAAATGACATTTCCTTAGCAGCACTATTTCAATTTGTTGAATGAATGAATAAATGAATGAATGAATATGTACTTTTGTGTTTCAATATTATGGTATATATTTATGACCACCTTTTAGGGGCAGGGTGCTTTTCCATTTTATTCTTCTGTATCATTATAAATAAACTCAAGAAGCATACACAACCACTAAGTACCACTCACCCAGAATGTTGGGACAGCATTGCTTTGAAGAAAGAAAATGACATGGACCACAGACACAGATTCCTTAGCTTGTATTTGACTGAATTGTTTTATATTGACAAAATTGTGTGTCAGAACCAATTGCATGGTTAGATGCATTAAGAAACTAACTGCAACACCATTGTTAAAAGTGTGGGTTTTGGAATAAAACAACAATGTGAAACATTTTGCAATCCAGAGGAAGGATGGGAATCAAACAGGTTTATTGATTTAACCTCACTTTCATTACCTTACGATTTTAAATGCCATACCTTTACAAACAAGCTAACGCAAAATTGGCAAGTGTGTTATAGCTATGAAACCCTCTCAAAGTTTTAAAAACGAATGCTTATCATTGTAAACACTTCTGACTTTCACAAGTGATTTACATTTTCTCACTTTCAAAAGAGGGGGTGCTCTTTGCTTTTACTCTCTGGCACACCAAGGTAAAGCACAGCACAAGTACGAAGAATTAACTTCCCAAAAGAACTACTGTTAATTTTAAATTTTGGAAGATATGCTGTCTGCTTATATAACTGATCAACTGACTCAAAATGTATCTGACACTGAACTTAGCAAAACAGATGAGAACTTTGTCATCCACTACTCTTACAAAATGTCAAAATGATGCAACATGACAGTAATTCACAACTTTTCTTCCAGATTCTATGACTGTAAAATCGTCAATCCCGTTCCAGTTGCCCTTTGCCAAATTAGCATTTTCACAGAAATATCTATTCCACATTATAGCATCGATTACACTTCAAAAAGGTACTTCATTGAGTATAAAGCAACATCACTGCAAGATGTCACAATGCTTGATACTATTTATTTCCAAAAGTAAAATATCTTTCATTGCTTTTTATTAAAACAGTCAAGCTCCAAATGCAGTGAAGCTGCGCAGGTTAGAAAAGGCATCACATCACATTCCATAGTTTCTGCCAAATTAATTGATTACAGTAAGGGCACAACTGGATGAGACACCACCCGATCAGACAACCAGTCATCCATCACCCACTAGTCAGGGCACATGCATGAAACATGACTAACTGAAGAAGAATAAGTGCCTGGTCAATCAACATTTGACACAAAGTCCACAGAAAAACCTTCCATCAGTAAAACAGGAAGAAATGAGGGTGGCACAGTGGCTCAGTGGTTAGCCCTGCTGCCTCACAGCGCCAGAGACCCAGGTTCGATTCCACCCTCAGGTGACTGTCTGCGTGGAGTTTGCACATTCTCCCTGTGTCTGCGTGGGTTTCCTCTGGGTGCTCCGGTTTCCTCCCACAGTCCAAAAACACGTAGGCTATGTGGATTGGCCATGCTAAATTGTCCATAGTGTTGAGGGATGTGTAGATTAGGTGGGTTATAGGGGGAAATCGGTCTGCGTGGGATGCTCTTAGAGTCAGTGTGGACTTGTTGGGCCGAAGGGCCTGTTTCCACACTGTGGGGATCCTATGAGGTGAAATAGCGTGCTGTTTAAAGGACAATGTCAATTCGGTTTTAAAACTTCACAACATACTTTATGATTCACCAATTGTACTGTTCAGTCACTTGATAATACTTTTTCAGCACAACTTTTTTTTTTAAAACTGTTTATTTACTATTTCTGTAAAGTAGTTGATGAATGTGAATAAACTATAAGAATCACCCTACAGCCACCACACCATTTCTTTACCACCAATTATAAATTTTTGGGGTGTTATATTTATTTTTTACTTTCATTAATTAGAATTGTGTTACAATGTAAACACTGGGCACAAAAAAGTTGCAGTGAATATGGGGAAAAATTGGCAGCATAAAAATGTGCAATTAATCAAAAATAATTGCACGTTGAAGGGAAATGTTCCAAGTGGAAGTAAAGGATAGACTTTAATACAACTCCTGATGAGTTTTTAAAAAAGGTCACAAATTAGGGAAAAAACTGTCCCCCTGCAAACCCATTCCTGCTGCAGGATTCCTTCCATTTTCAAAATGGTCCAAGACACAAGAAAGCAAAGAATTGCCTGCTCACATTGAGTCCACGCACCGAATTAGCTCAGTCATTTTCTTGTTCCTCCGGTCCTAAAAGCTGCATGTCACAGGATTTTACAGTAGTTTGGCACAGGCATTTAGATGCTTTTTAATCTTTTGATTTCCACAAACACTATGGCTCCACTTATTCAGAAGGTCTCTGCTGTATGGCTCATAAGGTATACAGACAGAGCCTGAGTCAACTCACTTCCAAGTTATCCCTGTTTTTCTGTGGGCAAGTGACCAGTCACTACCAGCTGTCAACACGGTGGTTAGCAGTCTCACCTCAGAACACAAGGTTGTGGATTCAAGTTCCACTCCACAGGCCAGAGCGCATAATCTAGGATGACACTCCCAGTATAGTACTGGCAGACACTATATTGTCAGGTATCGTCTTTCAAATGAGATGTTAAACCCAAGACTCACTGCTCCCCTCAGGTAGATAAAACTGATCCTGTAACACTATTTCAAAATCTATCGGGGGAGTTCTGCCACAGTGCCCTGGTCAATATTTATCCCTCAAGTAACATTTAAAAAATATTCAGCAGCTGTAAAGTGCTTTAGGACATCCAATGGACGAAAAACGACCCTAAAGAAATATTCTCTCTTTCATTAACTAGACAACATGGATTTGGGAAACAAAAACAGAGATTGCTGGAAAAGCACAGCAGGTCTGGCAGCACCTGCGGGGAGAAATCAGAATTAGCGTTTCAGGTCAAATGATCCTTCCTCAGAACTTCTGTGTTGTGTTCTTTATGTTCTGAGGGAGGGTCACTCAACCCAAAATGTTAACTCTGATTTCTCTCCACAGATGCTGCCAGACCTGAGCTTTTCCAGCAATCTCTATTTTTGTTTGATTTACAGCATCTGCAGTTTTTTTTCTTTTCATGGACTGGGAATACATTTTTCTTACAAACCCAGTGAGATAGGATATTTCCCAATACTACTACTATACCCAGTTCTTGTCTCACTGTGGTAGCGTATTGAATACTGGAGACATATTGCTGCATCAAATAAATCAATAATATACTGCTGTTTAAACAGTGCCATCAAGTGGCTGCAATCAGTGTGGCAGGATTTTCAATGCATATAGGATACATAGGTAACTTAGAACCCCATAAAATGCTTTATGGGGCCATTCTCTTTAAACAATAAAGATCTCAGGAAAAAGGTTGAGAGTGAAGTGGAAAGAATTCAAAAAGTGTTTGGAGGACAAAGAACAGGCAGTCCAACTGTATCTCTAACTTGACTGAAAGCAGCTCCCATCTAAACCTAAATCAACATGTGGCAGAGCATCCATGTTCAACCATTGATGATGCAAGAGAACTATCACGTGTACAGCCTCCTACAAATACGAAAATCTCAATGATTCCTCAACGTTACAGCAACAGAACAGCATAGAAGTTTGAAGCTCGGTTAAGTGGAGAGAATGGAGAAGAAAGGGTGTTAGAAACAAAATCAGTGAATCATAACAATTAAAAAAAAAATTTCACAAGAGCTCAGATATCACATGTGAGAAATCAATGCCTTGTCAAATTTTCAGACATCTACAAGCCAGCATAATTTGAGCAGATATGTGTATTAAAACACAAGTTCTTTAACTTTGGCTGGGCACTCAGCTGCTCAACAGGGTAGTTGTGCTGAAAGAGAGAAAGTGAGCTACAGTGAGAATCACAGACATAAAAAGACGGACAGAACAATATGTATTTCTACAGCACGCTTCAAGACCTCAGGATATACCAGACTGCAGAATAACCAACGAAACCTGATTGAAGTAAACAGCAGTAAACATGACATTGAATACATGCAGCAAGGTCCCACAAACAGCAATGAGAAATTGACCAAATCATCAGTTTTTGTGATGTTATTTGAAGGATAAATATCATCTAAGAGACCCAAGAGTACTTCTCTTCTCTTCCTTAAAAATTGTTCTATGGGACCACTTATATGCACCTTAAAAGGAGACTTGTGCTTTGATTTACCACCTCTCCAAAAGGCAGAACCCTCCAAGACAGCAGCACCCTCGGCACGTCAGTACTAAACGTGAGAGTCTGGACTTTGGGCTCAAATCCCTGGAGTGGGTCTAGAACCTGCTGATTCAGAGGCATCAGAGCTACCAAATAAGTCGCAGTTTACAATGAGTTCGTAGACTTTCCGACCTGTAGCATGACTGTCACCATGACAAAACCAAAAATCTAATGATGTACAAAATCATTTTCTATTGGTCCTCAAGATTGTGCAAGCCTCACCTTCTCCATAGGAAGTTGGATAGATGCCTTACAGTCAGAAAACTCAGCAGTAATGCTTGGTCCCTGTACTTCGGTAACAACGTACTGCAGTTTCTGAGACTCCTTTAGCATCTTCCGGTTGCTTCCACCAAACTTGCCCAGGACACGGTAGGCCACATGGGAGATACTGTCAGCTGGGTTACGCAAGGTACGCCATAGAGCCTGTCCAAAAACATTTTAAGAAACATAATTCTTCAAACTAATCTATAATATAGTATTCATTATAGCTACAGCATGTGTAGTCTGGCATTTATTCAAATATTGGAGGAACAAAAGTGCAACAGAGAAACATCAGTGGTCAGCACAGCTGCCTCACAGAACTGGGGATCCAGATTAGTTTTCAACCTTGGGTGACTGTCTGTGTGGAGTTTGCACATTCTCCCTGTGTCTGCGTGGGTTTCTTCCAGATTCTCTAGTTTCCTCCCACAGTCCAAAGATCTGCAGGCTAGGTAGATTAGCATGCTAAGTTGCCCATAGTGTCCAGATATATGCAGGTTAGATGAGTTAGCCACGGTAAAATCCCCATGTGGAGTTAAGCAGATGGTGTGGGGGGTTGGGTCTGGCTGGGATGCTCTTTGGACTCAATGGGCCAAAACAGCCTCTTTCTGCACTACAGGGATTCTATGATTCTTGGGAAAGATATTTCTGGTACTTGGTGTGCTAAATCAAAGGATGCCTAAACTGAAGTTCCGGCTCACTTAAGGATTCTGAAATTCTGCCAATCTCAGACTCCAAGCAGAGTACTTTGTGGGCCTGAAAGCTTGCAGTATCTGTTGATAGGAAGAAGTGTCCCCAGGAATAGAATATAATCATCTAACAATGGATGACAGAAGATTGAGGCAAGACAAATAGAATGGAACAGAGATCATTCAGCCCATTACGTCTGTGCTACTTCATTCAATAACTGATCCATTCAGCACCATCTTCCTGTCCTTTCTCCAAAGCCTTGCAATTTACATTCTCCTCCGGACTCAACCTTCAAACATCCATGGAGTATTTTTCTGAATTCACTTATTCAAGTTAGTACTAAATTTGCTTCCATCATCCCTAAATGAGGGCAAAAAGAATAGAAGGGCATGGAGGATAAAGTGAGATGGGAGGAGACTCACAGCTGGGCCAAATGACCTCTATGTGTTTACATTATGTTATTTCTAATAATAAACGGGGCAAACTGATTAAAAACAGGAAATTCTGGAAATACTCAGCGATGTGGTAATGTAGCGAGAAGGAAACAGAGTTAAAGTTTTAGGGTAATGATTTTAAATCAGGAGGATTAAATGTTGCGTAGGTATTAACAGCTGTGTGAAATAGGGAGCCTGGAAGCAGCAGGGAGAAAGAAGCAGGAATGAAGTAAAAATCCTTTCTTTAGAAAATGAAGCAAATCAGATCTAGCTTTGATAAAGCACTTTGAAAACAGTTATTGAAAGGACAGTGTTCATGAGGCAAACAACCATTTTCCTCTCAACATTCATTGAGAGTTCATCTAATTGTAAAATTAACATCTTTGAATTATGCATGTCTAAACTAGCAACTTTATAATACGCATAGTCTAGCTTAAGATCCTGATTATAAACCTGGGCTCCTTAAATCTGTATTCCTTCCTGAGGAAAAAATAAATTAAATTCCTAAATTAGAAAAGCTTCTATCGTACTCAAATTGTTCTTTACAAATAACTACTATGTTCCTCCAAATGACTCTTCAGTTGCAATTACAACACAGTCAAAGATTTGAACAGTGCTGCCATCCAGCAAATGAACTGTTATTGTGACCATTCAATGTTATTTACTGTATCTCATGTATTCAGATGGCATTTAATTCTCTTTGAAGCTCAGGAGTTTGTAATTCTGAACAGCAAACTCTATGAAGGGCAATAAAAATTACAATAGCAAGTAGCATTGCCAAAAGCATCACAGCAGGAGTTTCAACTGCACAACAGTTTAATTTGTGACATCCACTTTCTTCTCCCAGAGTGTTTCCTGTTTGACTTTGGGGTGGTTGTGGGGAGGGGTTCATGGATATCTCAACACAAAATAGTTGATTTATCGCAAGCTACCTCAAATTTCTATAATAAACTAGGCATCCCATGACATGTAATCAAATTTTGGTTTTTGAATAGGTAGCAAGAGCAAGAACAAAAACAAAAACTGGCAAGTAAGAAAGAATCTCTGAAAAGCTAGCAGTGTTCCTGTGCAAAGCAACAGGCTGAAATGACCATAGGAAGGTTACAACTGCTCTTCCAAGGCCACAAAAGTCAACAAAAATGACTGTAGAAATTCTGATGAAAATGCAGTGAACTGAAATGTCAATTTTGTCTCTACTGATGTTAAGCATAGATAGAGGATTGCCTAATTAACATAAAAACTAAGTGGGTAAAAATAGGTCATTTTTAGGTTGGCGAACTGCAAATTATAAACTGACACTGGGAACTCAATAACTTAAAAGCTATTTTAATGACTTGGGTGAAAGAACAGATTGTATTCTCACCAAACTTGTTGATGGTGCAGAGATTGGTAGGAAAGCATGTTATGAAGAGAATACAAAATCTGCAACGGGAAAGTGCTCAACTACAGTGAGCAGCGAATGCTTATACAAGTCGAAACTGAGAACTTGAACAGTAATAAGGAAATGCTTCATACATATGATACTCGAGTTACAGAAAGAATCATCAGGAAAAAATTACCTGATTTATTTTCTGAGAAGAAAATAACATATACAAGATTGATGGGTGACAGAATCAGATGCTTGCTTGAGATCAATAGCCTGAATGGCAAAAAAGCTGAGATAAAGATGGGAGAATTTTTTTTAAGCAAAATGTTACGATATACTGAAATGCTCTGCTCGAGAGGAAAGCAGATTCAATAATAACTCTCAAAAGGGAACTGGATATATGCTTGAAAAGGAAAAAATGCAGCGTTATAAAAGGAAAGGGCCAGAGGGCCCAAGTGGTCAAAGTTAAACAAGCCATTTAACTGAATACCTGACAAGTGGTCTTTCTGTAATGATTCACTGAATTTTCCCTAGGTGTAAGGGACTCTTTCAAACAGCTAAGATTGGCACAATAATTTGAATAGCCTCCCTTTAGCTAAATGATTCAACTATTAACATACAGCAAATCAGAATACAAATTTTAGCAGATACACATCCCCTAATGTATTAGGGTGTGGAGCTGGAGGAATACCGCAGGCCAGGCAGCATCAGAGGAGCACGAAAGCTAACATTTTGGGTCGGGACTCTTCTTCAGAAAATTCAGATTTTCTGAAGAAGGGTCCCGACCCGGAACATCAGCTTTCCTGCTCCTCTGATGCTGCCTGGCCTGCTGTGTTCCTCCAGCTCCACACTGTTATCTCAGACTCCAGCATCGACATTTCTTACTACCCCTAATGTATTACACTGTCCCAGTTTTACCTGCATGAGCTCAGCTCGCACTGGCTGGATATGATCATACAAAAAATCAGGCTGCAAGTTGTCAACGCACAATTCCAGTGTCCGCAGGCCCTGACTGACCAAGGTCTGAGAACCATTAAGCGCAGATACCAATGGGTCCATCAACATTGGCAGATAAGGCAAGAGGGAGCTGAGTCGGACGGGCACAGTTAAACACAGCTCGACAAAAAGATCTTTCATGTGTTGCTTATGCAGGCCACTCTGCAGCATATTCAGTCCTGCAATAAAAACAGCTTGAGTATGACAGCAACTATATCTGCTACTTTATTCTGGTTTTATTTTCCAACAGATGCTGTACAATTTTAGGAGCCAATACTTAGCTTGCTAAACCTATACAAAGCCACAATAAATGTTCTGAACAATGCAAATTAATAAAAAAAAATTACAGATACTGAATCAGGAAAGATCCTACTTCTATCCTTTACAAATGATTAAAAAAAATCCACATTTAAGTGATACAATTTCAGCCCTGCACCTCTAAGCTACAAAGCAGATTTAGGACTCAAAGGGAATTATCTTCTATAAGGAACATGCTTTAGCTAATGCTCACTCCAGTTAAGCTCCTAAAATATTTTACCAAAGCTTAAAATGTATTGATTGAAATTGGAGTTATTTCATCAGTTAAACAGTCAGAAGCTAATGTAACTGCATTCTTACCTTGCAGCAAGTTAGGCAGTAATGGCAGAAACTCTTGATACAGGAGATCGTGGCTGCCACCCCCAATGGATCGGAAAAGGGCTCGAAGCAACAGAAAGTAGTTGTACGGCTCCTTGGCTGTTTGTGCAAGTTCCATAGAACTGTTGACAATTTTGTGTAGATGTGGCTAAAATATAACGGAATTTCATGTTAGATGGTTTCCGGTTTGGGGTCAGCACTTGTACAATGGGTAGCACTGTGTCTTGTGGGTTCAAGGCTTAGTCCAGAGACTTGAGAACAAAATCCAGACCAACACCTCGGGTGCAGTACTAAGGGAATGCTACCCTGTTTGAGGTGCTGTCTTTTAAACAAGGCATTAAAGCAAAGCCCTGCCTGCCCCAATGGTGACGGCTTATCTATCACAATACATACAAAGACACACCCCACCCCACCACAATTACTCAAGAAAGCCAGTTCCACAATTTAAAATAAAAGTTACTTCAGTGGAAAAAGTAGGCTATAATTTTGGTTTTAGTTTTCTTTTCAACACCATGCCAATGCATTCACAAGAGACTCTTCATTACTCAGTTAATTTTCAAGGTTTAAACATCCATTGCTTAATTTAATGAAACAACATTAACGAACAGACCAAAAAGAATCCAAACATTTAAATTGCTGTTACAGCTCATTAAATTCACTCGACCTTGAATTTTCTGACATGGGGAGAACAAAAGAAGAGAGATTTTTTAATAAGATACTTTAAAGTGACCTTCATAGAGCAAAATCAGACGCTAAACCATTAATCACCAAGAAAAGTCACATTTCAAAACAGTCACCATTTCAAATCAGTCAAAATTCAATATATTTTTTCTGCACACAAAAGTATTCCAAAAATCAAACTAGAGCTTTGAATGACAGGAAGCATTTATTGTAATTACTGGAAGGGAAGGGAGAAGAAAAGGACAAAAGAAAAACATGTTTGCCTACATAACAAAAGCTACAAATTGAAGGACTCTTGCATACTTAAATGATAGGACACTACATCTATTATCTGCAATGCAAGCTGGACTCCAAGGGCTAAAGTATCAGAGAGTACAAATTAGGGGTCGTATTCCCTGGAATTCAGAAGATTAACAGAAAATTTGTTCAAACGTTTCAAGATATTGTGGGAACTGATAGTTACTCCCTATCTATCCTATTTCAGCGGGTTAGGGAGTATAGGACAAGAAACTAAAGGCAACATCTTTTATCAATGAAACTAGAAAATATTTTTCACAGAAAGGCTGGTGGAAATTTGGGATTCTTCTAGAAGCAGTAAATTGATGCTACATTATATCAATTATTAATTCTAAATACAAGATTGACAAATTGGTGTTAACCAAAGGTATTAAAGACATATTGAACAATGGTGCATATATGGTGTTTGATCTCAGTTCTACCAGGATCTCAGTGAATGGGCAACAGGTCCCAGGCATTAAATGGCCTTCTCCTGTTGCAATATAAAACAGAATTCTTTCTTACAATCATTCCCTGTACTTGCAACACAAGCAGCGCAGAGGTTGCTTTACTTCTTCATTCTTCAAATGGAAACAATATTTGGATACATTGATGTCAATTTTTTCTCAAAATTCAAGCACACGCTGTGGGCATCACGGTTGGGCTGAATTTATTGCCAGTGCTTAAATGCTCAGAGGGTAGTTAAGAGTGAATCACATTGATACAGATCTGATGTCACATGTCTGCCAGACCATGCAGGGATGGCAAAATTTCCTTCCTTGGAAGATCCTAGTGAACTAGATGAATTTTATTTAGTGGGTAGCGCCTTCACCACTGAAAGGCTCTGGACTCCAGGATTTCAGTCCAAAAATAAAATCAGGGATGATAATCCAATGCACTGCTGAGAGAGTGCTTCACTGCAGAAGACACCATCTTTTGGATAGCTGTGAAACCAAGGGCACGTCTGCCATCGCAAGGAAATTGTATGATTGTACAGCATAATTTTGAGGAGCAACTGGAGAGTTATCGTCAGTGGCCTTCCCAAGATTCATCCCTCAACTAACATCATACAAACAGATCTGCTGACCATTTACGTATTTGTTTGAGGGAGCTGCTCTGCATAGGTCAGCAGCAGCATTGCTTGTTTACACTACATCAGTGACCACACTTCCAAAAAAAAAAAAAAAAAATTCATTGCTTGTAAGGGGCTTTTGCAATGCACAATGGTCCTGGCAGATGTTATACAGATGCAAATATTTCTGTTTTTAAATTTTTGAACTGAAGAATTCCAACACAAGGTTGTTCCAATATCTGGAACAGAAGCCTGTATCGAGTAGGCAGACATCTTGAGCTTAAAGCCAAAAACTGATCTCAATTCTATCAGTTTGTCTGAATCTACTTGACCCAAGACCTAGGGAAATCTTCAAAATGAAATGCAACTAAGAGCCATCATTTTCCTTTCTTTCGAATCAGGTGCTGCTGAAATCTTGCTAAGTTCAACCAACTTCTTTCCTAAATACAAGGAATACATAGAGATTAGTCATTTGCCTGACCAGTCTATGCTTATATTCCACACAAGCCTCCTCCCTCTCCTGTTCATCTAACCCCATTAGCTGTGCCACTAACTGGCTTGAAAGCATGATAAACATTTGAGTATTCTACTTCCATATTAGACTCAGATTGTGACATACTTCATTCTCCAAATAATGTCGTCATAGAACAGTGAGAATTTACCATCCTCTCTCGCACTGCTGCATCGCCTCCTTACCTTTAACATCTGTTCATTTTCTGCTGCAAACAGAGAAACAGAGCCAAACACCAGCTTGAACAGCTTGAGATAGAGATTGGAGAGTTCAACATTGGAGCCCATTTCTGGAAGCCGGTCCAGAAGATATTCCACCAGAATTGTAGCAAACAGAGCAGAGGTAGAAGGGTTCGCCAAGAATGAGTTGGCCACAATCTGTAGCAGATAATAATTAAAAGTAAGTGAAATAAGAATTCTGAACCAGAGTGCTGCACTTACACTGCCAAAATTAAAAAATACACATAATGCTGATTAAAAAGATCAGTGAGCTTATAAACTGAGAATAAAGAGCCCGTTCAACTCGATAAGCATAGCAACGCAGAACGTGTTCCAAACAATTCTTAACGATAATCCTGTTTTTGCTACCAAAGTAGATTACATCACATTTATCTACATTATACTTCATCTGCCATGCTTTTGTCCATTCACTTAACTTGTCAAAAATTACAACGAGGCATCCCTGCATCCCTCTCAGAGCACACCCTCCTTGCCAGCTTTGTGTCAGCTACATTCTTAGTGATATTACATTTAGTTCTAGTCACTGCCTACCACTTGGAAAAAGACCAGTTTTTCCTACTGCGTTTACAGTCTGACAACCAGTTCTCTATCCATGTCAGCATATTATTCCCACTTCCATACACTTTTACTTTACATGCTAATCCCTTGTGTGGGACCTCATCAAAAGTTTTCAGAAAGTCCAAGTAAACCACATACACTGGCACCCCCTTATCAACTCTAATAGTTACAGGCACAAAAAATTTCATTACATTTGTCAAGCATGATTTCCGTTTCATAAATTTATGTTGATTCTGTCTGGCCCTATCATTGTTTTCGAATTGCTCTTTTATGAAATCTTTTATATTAGACTCTAGCATTTTCCCTATGACCAATGTTAAGTTAACTGAACTACAATTCGCTGTGTTGTGTCTGCTTCCTTTGTCATTGTAACAGTAATGTAACCCCACTATCTATAGAAACTGTTGCATAGTCTATAGAATCTTGAAATATGACCATAACTACATCCATTATTTCTACGGCCACTTCCTTAAGAAGTGTAGATATTTATTGGGCCATAATCACAAATTTCCCCAACACCATTTGCTCACCAACACAGATTTCTTTCAGTTCCTCCTTCTCCCAAGACTTTCTGCTCCCCAGCATTTTTGAGACTGTGTGTCCTCCTTTGCGAAGGCAGAACCAAAATATGTATTTAATTGGTCTTCCGCCTGTTTGTTCCCCATTATAACCTCCCCTGCTTCAAACTGTAAGGGATAGACATTTGTCTTCACAAATCTTTTTCTCTTCACATACCAACATAAGATTTTACAAATCAGCATGTTCCCTGCAATATTACTCTTGTATTCTATTTCCCCCGCTATTAATCAATCCCTTTGCTGAATTCTAAACAGCTTTCAAGCCTCAGGTCTGCCTCCTTACTGAGATCTAATACCATCTCCTAACTTTTCTTGCTCTGCACAGTCACATCACCCTTCCTATTTTAGTTTTGTACGAGACAGGAATGAACAATTTGTTGCAGTTCATCTACGTGCTCATTAAATGTTTGCTTTGGCCTCTGCACCATCATCCCTTCAAGTAAGGGTCCCCAATTTAGCATAGCCACCTCGTGCCTCATATCATTGCAGTTTAGTTTAGTTTAGTCTCCAAATCAGTTACATCACTCTCCATCGTAAATGGAGAATTCTCGCATATTAAGGTCACCTACAGGTGACAGGGGCTTGGAGTTACTTGGAGCACTTGGATTAAAACACTCCAAGATCAAAATTTTCTTTGCATTTATGAAAAAATTCTAACAAATCTTCTCAATATCATGTGCCTAAACATTTTAGATACAGATGGAAGATCATCAACCTGAATCCTGACTCCACTTTTACCTTCACAGGTACCTGTTAAGTGTTTCGCAGTATTTTTTTGATTTTATTTCAGATGCACCTGAAGTACTTTGCTTTTGTTTTACTGTGAATTCTTTCCCAATTGCTAAAATACATTTTCTTACACTTACATTTGGCTAAAAACTTTCATTAAAAAGGTACAAGAGAATGCTTGTCACCTGAAGAGCATAGTTTTTTGAAATCCTTTCAACCATGTATGGTACGGTTGTTTGAAAGATCTCCTTAAATGTCAAAGGATTCATCATAGTGAAAACACCAGCAAAGTGCTCCAAAACCTCCTTCTCTTCCTTCATCCTCACAGTCTGGCAATTGGCCACTCGAATGTATGTTTGTCCATTCCCAGCAATTTGCACCTGAAGCCAGAGATTGATTAAAATTGTTATGTTTAAATAAATATCTGCTGGATTTTCCCAACTTCCTCAACCCTTCCACTGAACATTCTTAACTAAATGCTGCATAGCCGTGAAACATTAAGCTGTATACAATTATTAAAAGGTCAATTAATTACAACCATAATCACAATTTTATAGAGTCCATAGGAATGTGGCCAAATTGCAGAATTAATAAAATAGTATTTTGAACATTTCAAATGCTTTCACTAAAGCAACTGAAAATTGCTCAAAACGTATGGCTGTCCTCATCAAGTAGTTTCCAGCCAACCAAGACACCATGGTTCAGCATCCAATGACCAATCCTAGCCATCAGTTCACCCCACCATGCAGTATATATCATTCTTTGAGTTTGCAAGTACAGTTTAATCCCATGCCAGCACTAATCTATCAGATTACTGACAGAAGTATTTGTTGTCGTGTTTTACGAGTTATTCACCAATGAGGAAAAAAAGAAAATGAGCCAGACAATAGAGCCAAGTCATTGAGGCTTCAACAGTGTGGTTGGCAGGGCATGGGAGACATGAAGCTGCTGTTTGGGCTTCACTGACAGAGATCAAACCATATAAACCACTGACAAATCAAAATAACCTTATCAAAAAACAATTCTAATACTATACCTGATAAATATCCAAAGCCTGCATTGCATATTTAACCAGCTTGATATAAATTTGTGTTTCTTTTGGCTGTAACTGCTTATTGGGAATAAAGGATGCCTCTAAGGAATAGAAAAAGAAATAATCCTTAAGACTGCACTTCATGATCTCACAAACAGAGCATTTATAATACAGTTCCCATTAGCACACCACCAGTTTTGAAATAATTTTATCGAATTATTACACAGAATTTAATGTTTAGAAAATGCTCATCAGCGCCACTAGCTGGCATGTACTACAAGTACTAACTGAACAATTCCTCACTATTAACAAAATGCTTAATTCTGGCACAAACATTACTTCTCTATCACTACTTTTCCCCAGTTTGGATATTCATATCTGATGACAAATAAGTCAGACAACTCTAACTACCTAAAAACAAAAATCAATGCTTTTCAATAATACTACTGCATACTTCTAAAGCAGCAAAATATCCCTAAGTGTTTCGAAGGATCCATTACTAAATACAATCCAACACTAAGCCCCATTAGGACAGGTAACCAAAGCTTGGCTAAACAAACATTTTGAGGAGCAATTTAAAAGACAAGGGTGGAGAGGTAAATGGAGAGGAAATCAGAGTTTAAGTCTTTGGTGACCATGTCTTCAGTCACCTATGGAAGTGATTACATCATGGGATTCTCAAAGCAAGTTAGTGATTTTTCATAAAATACTCAACTTCTGAAGTGTGAGAATGCAGTATTAGACAGAGATGAAAAGCAACATAATGAATACTTAGTACTGATCTTACCTCCTGGTGCTTTACATGAAGTTATGCCCCATGTAATTGTCTTCACCCCACATACCAATGTCTTCACCAAGCTGCGGCAGTCAGACACTTGGAAGGTCTGCTTTTCCTCTTTTTCTTTATCCCCATGTTTGTCTAAGGCTGGTACAGGGAGAGTGGGTGTCGGTGGGGCAGGAGGGGGAACAGATTGTGTTGGAGTTGCTTGAGCTGCCGCAATGGGAGCTTCTGTGGCTGTCAGCTCAGACTGTGGCTTGCACTTCTTAAAAATGGTGGACAACTGATAGCGAGAAATGGTGTGAAACTTCAGTACAAAGACCTAGAACCAATGGGGCATACAGAAAATATGAAATTTTGCATTTTTTTTTTTTTAAAACATCCCCGCAACCCACCCCTACTTTTCCACAAAACACACATTAGTTAGATTGTCAACTTTAACAACTTATCAGTTCCATGAGTGAAAAGGAAAATTGCAATTTCATCATTTTCTCCAAGACAGATATCCAATATGGGGAGGCAATGGCCTAGTGGTATTATCGCTGGACTGTTAATCTATAGACCCAGATAACGTTCTGGGGACCCAGCTTTGAATGCTGGCACGTCAGATGGTGGAATTTGAATTCAAAATCAAAATCTGGAATTAAGAATCTAACGATGACCAAGAATCCATTGTCGATTTTTGGAAAAACCCATCTGTTTCACTAATGTCCTTTAGGGAAGAAAACTGCCATCTTTACCTGGTCTGACCTACATGTGACTCCAGAACTCACAGCAATGTGGTTGACTGTTAACGGCCCTCTGGGCAATTAGGGATGGGCAATAAATGCTGCCTCACCAGCAACGCCCTCATCCTGTGAATGAATAAAGGAATTCCAAGGTTTCAGGTGCTGAAGGATAGAACTGGAGCCTAACCTTCAAACACACAAAGTTTTATTTACATGCATTATAAGCATGAATTTCCAAAACTAACGACTGGTTTGAGTCTGGTCATGCACAGAGGAACCCTAATGAATCCTCAATTAATACCCACCATCTGAATACTAAATGAACATGCAGTTACCATCAGATGCCTTCTCAGCTCATTTCAAAACAAGATATCTAAAGTCAATGACAAAGCACACAGAGTACGAGACACGCAGCATTGGACAGAGATGAAAAGCAAGAGAATGAGCATCACTGAGTAATGATCTCACCTCCTTCCTTTACATGAGTGGAGTAGGACAAGAAATGAATTTTTTAAACAGCAAGTTCAAAAGCTCATAGTACCTAGCTAATAATCAGTACTTTTTCTGTAGTTATAATTTGCATATATAATTAAATAGAATAATTTACATACAGCAATTAGAGAATTCTTATTCACAGTACAGGCTGAGGAGCAGGGACATGAAAGTCTAAGGCTTTACAGCGTCACCGGTGGCAGAAGGGGACAATTACATGATAACAATTTCACACAGGCAGTTCTATTAGAAATATTTACATAGGAATTTATAAACAGACAAAGTTAATAGAGAATCAGTAAAGATGCAAAGCTTTGAAAACAGTACAAATTGCTCTCCCTATGGAATGATGCAGAGAGAAAAGCCCAACTGTCAGCTTAAAGGTAAAGCCAAATAAGGGACCACTGGGCTCAAATAAGCAGACATTATTCGTCGCAATTTTAAAGTTATCTACAGTCAAGTCACTGGCCACTTTTTCTTTTTCATGTGGAGTTATCCATGCTGCCCTTATTTTTCCTATTCCCCTTATTCACAAGTAATGTAATTCCCATGACACCAAGAGCAGAAATTTTCTGTGACAGAGTAATCATTTTTAAAATTCAGTGTAATTTAACCAGGTACCTCCAACATTCTCATCAGAATATCTCTTCCATTCCCATTCTCCTGCTCGCTTTTCGAACGAATGCAATCCACAAGGTTCAACAGAAGTTTGCAAGACATTGTTTGGATGCTGCTGGGCAATGATTCATCATCTATATTCTTTGCAAATAGTTGAACGGCAAGGGCCAGATCATTCAGAGGAAGATGTTGACGGACGTGATGCACCAGGTCAGCCAGAGTGCTGTAGGCCAGAGGTCTATTTCAAAGAAAGTAAAAAATTTGTAACAGAATTACAACTTTCTGCACAGTGTCCATGTAACTCTATACCTATTCCAGCTTATGACAATCTACAAAGAGAAATTGCTAGCGCAAACAAGAGGGGTTGAGTCTACTTCTAGGTTAGCAGCACTGGTCACAGATGCTAATGCTAAACAAAATGCTCCAATTCATCCCCTTTCCATTCAGCACTTTTAAACTGTATTACGGAAATTTGAACTCTCTCTTTTAAAAACTCAAGAAAATAGCAAAACACCTTTACACAAAATAGGTCATAAGGTAAAATTAGAAGGTGACAGTGTTGGAGTTAAATGCTCATAATGAGATTCTAAACATACACGTGGAAGTATAGTCACATTAAAGTGTCAAGGAAGGTGAAACTGTACAAAATGTCAGCATTTAAGCAACAATGTAGAATCCTGAATTATGGCAACTTTAAATGCATAACGCTTTCTGCGGTCAAGTCGCTGGTAGCATTTTCCTTTTATGTGCAGGCACTATTTAATTAAATGCCCCAGTATATTTCCAGTGCACTGGAGTGATTGCCTACCTCAGCGTTTCCCGAGCTGTGTACCCTGAGCCTATTAGCACAGATTCATCAAATAGCTTATCCATGCATGGAATGAATTCTGTAAAACAAATGATTGGTATTATGCAGACAGCCACCAATTCTCCCTCATTAATGAAAACATAAAACTAATTAAACATCATCAACTTTTCTCTTGTGAAACATTAATACAATTATATTATGCCAACATATTTACAGAGCTCCTATTGTCCAGCACAGTAAATATCTAATTGTACAAAGTAAACACTAACTACCATGCTGGCTAATGATTAAGAGACTGCAGCCTCTCATTTAGAAGTTCACTTCACCACTTATGAGAAAGAGAACAAGTCTAACAGATAACATAAACCCTCACCTTCAGCCAGTTATATCATTCTAGCACTATTTCTGGAAAGACAACACCACAGAGGGGTAATAATAAACCGGGCAATGACAACAGAGTTGTATTCCAACAAATCCAGCTATGCTACTGCATGGAGTAGAGGTTGGCACCCACCAAAACCATGACATAGAAGGAAAGTCATAAAGTGGGTTCCAAACTCCTCCTAAAATTTGGCTCAAAGAAAAACAATCAAGGCCTAGATTGAGATCTTCCACCCACTCAAGATGTAATTATGGAGATAGGAGAAAATAGAGTGAAAGTGGGGAGGAAGAGAAAATTACTTGAAACATGAAGGTCTGTGCTCTCCCAACTAAAACAATCTGCATTCCACACTACCTTTGACTGTTCAGTCTCAATATCAGCTTAACAATGTTCCAGTAGGACTTTCCAAATGCACTCAGCACAAAAACTACATACGGTTACGAAGATCGGTAGTCAGAATGTGCTTGGCTGCAATTAGCAGCTCCTTCCGTAGATGGGCAGTTTCAGAAGGACAGTTAGACAGCAATTGTAACATTCCTTTCACCATTTGTTGTGAATACTTTCCAACCAAATCCTAAAGAGAAAAGGATATTACTGGCAAGATCTTTCTTGTCCTTTTAAAATCAAACTATAGGCCATTAGAAAGAAACATACCTGATAAATTCTTATGATGTAAGCAAGAAAGGACAATGTTTTAATCTGTGCAGCAATGAAGTCAGCATATAGCTCCTTGTTGTAAAGTTTATTTTGCCTACAATAAAAAGTATATCCTTTCAGATCCAGATCTCTAAATTTGAAAATATTCACCTTTTAGTGAAATAAGAAACTAGTCAATTTATACAAAATTAAGAAAGGGTGCTTTTTAATCAAGTCATTTTAAATCAAGTAAATTTCATGTAGTTGTGCTAAAGTGTTAGTGTTACAATGATGCGGCGTTGTGTAACACATCACAAAACTGATTCTGTTCGAGTACTTAAGGGACTATAAATACGGCTCATAAAATTATCTGCATTTTAAAGCAAATAATTCAAGGTTAACCTTGACAATAACCAACCATTCCCAATGTCATAACAAACAGTGTTCCAAATGTTTTTGTCAGTGAGCTTCAAGATCTTATTCTGTTACCTATCACAGGTCTAAAAGCAGACAGTCCAGTACCAATCCCTAAACCCCACTATTTGAAGTCTCAATGACTGCTGTGATATATAGAACGTCTTTCAGTGCAGGAATCAGTTGCACTAACAGTTAGCACATCGGTATTCCGACGCAGCAAAACGACAAGCTTCAGTGCAGGGAAAAAAAGAGGAGTCTTGATGCTTAGATAGCCATAAAGCTCAAAGACCAACACAGAAAATGGCCTGACAGTCTGAATACAACATGGCATTCCAGTCAGAGTTGCAACTGAACACATCATGGTGTAGCAGAGCCCAGCATACTTCAATTTTTGATAACTATTACACACAAAAAAAAAATCTATAAATTTTGCTCCGTTGAGAATGAGTGACCCATCCAGTTTAATATCAAATGTTTACAACATTAATGACCGATGATTTATATTCATGACCATTCAGAAATGGTTCACAAAAGTATTGGAGGTAGGGTCACCTGACCCGAAACGTTAACGGATTTCTCTTCACAGATGCTGCCAGGCCTGCTGAGTCTTTCCAGCAACTTTTTTTTCTATCGATATTTTAGTTTGCACACTCTGAACTTTATTTTGACTGTCAAAAATTTTTAAAGCCTCTGAGGCAGTTACCAAAATTTGATTATTCCTTTGATGGATGCACCAGCCAAGTTATTTACTTCTAGCTCTTACCAGCTAAATGCAAAAATTCTAACTGAAAATTAATTGTTAACTGAATTGAAACAACTTTGGGGACTCACTTGGTAACAACAGAAATTGATGGACTACAGCAGTTCAAGAAGGCACCTCACCACCACCTTCTCAAGGGTGACTAGAGATGGGCAATAAACGCTGGCCCAGCCTGCGATGCCCACATCTCACAAAAAAAGGAACAAATTTTTTAAACATCTTCTCCAAAGGCTTCCTCCTCCTCCAGTCTACAAATGCAGGTTACTCAGTCTTTGGTGTGAAGAACCCAAAGGTTTGTTTGGAGTTTGATCATAGATCATAGAATCCCTACAGTGTGGAAACAGGCCTTTCAGCCCAACAAGTCCACACCGACCCATCGCCCTACAACCACCTAAGCTCCACATCCCTGAACACTATGGGCAATTTAGCATGGCCAATCCACCTAGCCTGCACATCTTTGGACTGTGGGAGGAAACCGGAGCACCCAGAGGACACCCACACAGACACGGGGAGAATGTGCAAACGCCACACAGACAGTCACCTAAGGGTGGAATCGAACCTGGATCCCTGGTGCCGTGAGGCAGCAATGCTAACCACTGAGCCACCGTGCCATCCCCAAGTTTGGCAGGGCATCAACCCTTCAACCATTCCCATACTCTGTTCAACACCATTAAAGGCAAAATGATTTCAAACAGGACATAACAAAATGTGTTTTTGGAGGAAGAGGTAGTGGGGTAGGATCTCCCATTAACAATTAGCAACAAACAAAAGGGAAAAGGAATGAGAGATTTGAGAACTAGAAGAGGAAACGTCTGAGCTTCTGAACATAAGATCTCCAAAGCTGCAGACACCATCTGAATACACCACTTCACTAAGTACCAAGAATCAGCTTCACTCGCAATAACTCAAGTGCCCATTACCAGGTATAGAGGTCTTCTGAATCAGCACACAAACTAGAAGGGTTCTATATCAAGATTCTGACCATCATTGAACTTTTCATCATTTACAAACCACAAAGCACTATACCAACATTGTGGCCTTATGGTATGAAGGTTTTCCAATGGAACACCAAAGCTGTTCATCAGTCAAATCAACCTATATTTGTTCATCTATCCATAGCAACTCCTCATTGTATCATGTGGGTTTTTGCTATAAGGCCCCTTCTCAAGTTATTTTAAGCACATGCTCAGACAGCAAATAAAAATTTGCAGAACAAAACCAATCAAATGCATGCAGTCTACTGCACCACCCAGACAAATAATGCTTACCTTGCTTGGGGTGTAACCTGCAGCATGATAGTGCTCATAATCAACGGCACAAAATCAGATACAACATTGTGTATACTCTGCTTGTACAGCTGAAATGAAACATGAACATTAGTGGATTTATGTAGACTAACGCCAGTCCCTTAGTATCATTATTCATAATTTCTATAGATTTTGGCAATTGTTTAAAAAAAGACATTTTGTCAAAGTCTTTCAATTTGTACTCATTGGAACAATTAGGAAGAAGTAGCAATGTAAGGGGAAAACAACAATTATATTGTATGGGAAGGGAGTGCTGATTGATTTTAAATTATTCCTTTTACAAAATAACAGTGTATATCACTAGCCGCACTAAAAGCAGCATCACGAATGTGATTTGGACTATACTATACATCCAATTTTAGCTGCCAACCAGGGGAGGAAACTAAGTAATACCTCGGAGGAATCTCAGTCTGATTCATGACTTTGAAAGGGATTACAGTAAATGTTTGCTGGATGTGGAAAAGGGTTGGAGGAAGATGAAGTGAATTACTCTCAAAATTCACTGGCAAATCATAGTTAATTTGCCAGCAGAAAGCAAACTAACAGCAATGCTGGATCACTGCACAGCAACCCTACAACTAGCACCTTCTCCATCTCTTCAGCCTTTGGGTTCGCTACCACCTGCCCTGACACAATTAGTGATGGACAGTAAACACTAGTCTTGCCAGGAACATACAGACCCCAAGAACAAATAACAAACAGGTTCCTTGAAGGAAGCAGCGTTAGTGGAAGCCATCATCAGCCTGTGGCTCTGCTACTGGGGAAAGCTAATGAGTTGAAATAATCTACCTCTATTCATATGCAACTCCTTGTTCAAGATGCCTTTCTCTGGCAAGGGGTGGATAATAGACTTCCAGCTGCAGCATACCCTCTCCCATGAGCACAAGCAGATTGACTGGTTCACAGAAAGTGGTAATCACAATAGTACAGATTTACTTCACCATTCACATAGATATGGATTTCCTATATGGCAGAAATGGCCTCTTCACACGGAATTTCTGTCAGGCCTTTACACTCAGCAAATTGAAGACAAGCAGTCTGGGGCTGGAGCTGTTATTAGGGGCTAGGCCAGGACAAGCAGTATTGTCCAATGATGTGGATAAGTGAGTAAATGCTGACTGAATTAGCTAAAATCAGTGCTGCGTGTGTTCGTCATATCAGATCTACCAACTGACGGCACTTACATTCCTAGATTTCACCTTAATTCAGGAATTCACTTCTTGGATGGCTGGTAAGTTAAAACAAAATATTTAAACAGCTTAAGCACTAGAAAGGAGAAGGGAAATAGTGAATTAAGGGGTATGGGACAGTCTCGCGTGATTCAGCAAAACTGGGACACTGTCAAACAGATATAAGTGCTCGGAAAACAAATACTCAGCTGGAAGAGCTGTAAAGACCAAGGGAAGGGTGGGGGGCAGAAGAGAAGATTTTGCAGAAGAATAGAATAGTAAAGAACAGAATTAACCAAGAACAACAGAAAAGCTAGATGCTGTCTGGGTGCTGAGCTAATTAAATCTACACCAGAACCTAAGTGGGGCAATGTCCCAAGCATTCAGATTCAAAATGAGCCTCTCCCACTATGGTAACTATACATTACAACAATTACCTGATACATGAGAACAACAATGATTGGAAGCTCAGCCAATACCTTCAGAGAGAGGGAGCCTCTTGGAATTATGGTATGCTGAAAGACATAAGTATTTTATACAAAGCACAAGACATTCAATTAATATAGGAAATTGCAATAGTACAACACTAATTTAGAATATTCTCCACAAAGGCTGCTTTGGGAGGAACACCTACATCTATTAAAATTAAAATCAACCAATTTTATTTTATTTAACTAACAACCGTCATTTTGAAGTAAATAGATTCACTGTGTTAAGAATTAATGTTAAATACACAGAGTGTTGGTTTTATATTTAAAGAATGTAGCAATCCAGCAGGCCAACTTTGCAGACTTACCTGCTTTTTTTCATTTTTAGAAATACATGTTAATATCACAAGCACACATTGACACAGGATCATAGGCAGAAGAGAATGCTTGAATCTGTCGATCTGAGAGATGCAAGCCTAGTCATCGAAGTGAAAGAACATGCGAACTATCAACAGATCAACTCACTGTTCTTGACTCACTGTCCTCTCGCTCAGGATTGGTCTTAACTACGACCTGAGTGATCATGCCAACCATCTCTGGAGAAGGAACAGTGTTATCAGCGATCGCTTGGGGCTTCTCAAAATATCGTGTCTAGAAGGAGAAATCAAAAATTCATTATCCTTCCTAGCAGTGGCCAGAGATTTTAAAGAAAAATCCACAGCATGCTACATACCACAACTTTCGGTAGGTCGTTATAAATCTGCTTCACAAAATCAAGGAAGTGGTGAATCTGCAATAAAACAGACACAGCATTAACAAAATTATGTCCACATTATAGCTGTGTTCATTAGACAGGGCCATTATAAAACTGAACCAGAGCTTCTCAAAGTCCTAAGATCTGTTTTTAAAAGAAGGTTCATTTTAACAATTACTCAAAAAAAGTGTCTGGAGATTCTCATTTGAAACTGAAGGCAGCTCAGTAAAATAAACCATACAAACTAATAAATCTATACATTTTAAAACATCTGGTATTTCAAGCAAGGGTACTTACTTCCTGTGTGATTGGCGGTCGGAATTGTTTATGTAATTCAATGATTATTCGAAGGCAAATAAGTACATTCTCTTCATTCTCAACCTATAGTAAGGAAATGGTGGAAATGCAGTAACACATTAATTAACAGGGATTATAACGGTTTCAAAATTTTACTCCCTCTCACCTACACTTTTATTCCAAGTAAAACAGTTGTAATTAAACAAACAAAGTTCCTCAGTTACGGGATGTTTCAATAGATTTAGGCTTGAATGATACCCAAAACTGAGCTGAAGATACAATTTCACATAAGAACATTCCATACCATGCTTCATTCCAGCTAATCTTTAGCCTAATTTATTTGTAAATACAGCAACTCCTGTGTTTCTGAAATTAAAGGGATAAATCCCACATCTGCTTGTAAATGACAGAATGACCCTATATTTGGCTTTACATACATGGTATACCATGACTGTAGACATGAATCGGGAAACAAGAAGATCACAGGTACAGAGGTTGCCCAGTCAACCACACAGGCATGCATTAAGTGAATCATCTCTGCTCCTAAACTTTGTCATGACGTGGAGGTGCTGATGTTGGACTCGGGTGGACAAAGTCAGGAGTCATATGACACCACATTATAGTCCAACACCGACACCTCCATTGGTCACCCGATAAAGCAGCAGCATTCCAAAAGCTTGTGATTTCAAATAAACCTGTTGAACTGTAACCTGATGTCGTGTGACTCCTGACCTAATCGTTGTGTTCTGTCTTTTCTTAAACCTATATTTCCCAACTAAGCATTCAACATGTTTTTAAATGCCCCAATTAGCTCAATGAGTAGAATTCTTGTCAGGGAGTCATAAGGTTCTGGACGCATGTCCCACTCCAGGACTTGAACATAAAAAAACCCAGGGCTGACACTCCCTAGACAATATCGAGGAAGTGCTGCACTGTTGCAAGTGCCATTTTTCAGAGAAGACATTAATCCGAGGCCCTGTCTGCCCTCTCTGGTGAGCGTAAAATATCCCATAGCAGGGGAGTTATCCCCATGGTCCTGACAAATACTTACACCTCAATCAATCACAAAGAGAACAGATTATCTCATTCTTATCATATTGCTGTTTGTGGGAGCTTGCTGTGTGCAAAATGACGACCTCTTTTCCTACATTAGCAAATGTGCTTCTTAAATCTTTTATTAGTCATAAAGCACTCGAGGCATCTGGTGATCACGAAAAGTCCAATATAAATGGATCTTTTTTCACAACACTAAGGGAATGTTGCACTGTCTGAGATGCCATAGTTCACTGAGGCATTAAACCAAAAACTGCCAAGTACCCCCTCAGATGAACATAACAGATCTATGAGACCATTCTTGAAGACGAGTTGGGGGGAGATATTTCCAGTGTCCTGGCCAATACTTATTCTTCAGTCAAAAGAATAGATTACCTGGATATAATCACATCACTGTTTGTGGCAAGTTGTTGTGCATGAATTGGCTGACGCATTTCCTACATTACAATAGTGACTTCAAAAGTATTTCATCAGCAAAAAACAAACCCTTGGGACATCCCAAGAATATGAAAGGCATAAATAAAAATGTAATTTTTTTTTCTTATACATAATTTTGAATTCTCAACTTTGAGCTAATAATCCATATTTTATGAAATTACTTTTCACGGACTTTTGCTTTTTTAATCAACTGAGTTCAAATTTGATAAATTACCTTCATTTCAATGCCACTATCCAAAAGAAGAGCCAGCCTCTATCCACCCTCAGCTTCCTTCTTATTTAAAACTCATAGGGTGAGAGGATTATTTGAGTAGACTAGGCCTATATTTCCTAAAATTAGGAAGAATGAGAGGTGATCTAACAAACATGAAATTCTTAACTTGGTTAAGATAGATTTTGGGAAGACGGTCCTCCTTGCTGGAGAGTCTAGAAGTCATAATCGCAGCATTAAAGGGGCCTGCCTCTTAAGAACGAGATGAGGAAAAATGATTTGATTCAGGGTTGTGAATTTTTGGAATTCTCTACCCCAGTAAAGCTAGATACGTAGTTGTTGTGTCCTAGTATAGTGAAGATTGGTCATTGAATTTTTGGGCTCCAAGGGAAATAATTGATATGAGGATGATTCAGAAAGGTGGAGTTTATGTAGATAAGCCATGAAGAAACCGGAGGAATAAGTAATTTAGTTTGTCTAGCTTACTGCTTCCAATCAATGAGATCATAACTAATTTGAAACGGCCCGGATTCCACTTCTCTGCCTACTTCCCATGTCCTGTTTCCCATCACCCTCCACTCCCTTGTCAAACCTGTTTCAGTCATGAATATATCAATTATCTACTCTCTACTCTTCACTGAGAAGAATAATGCCACCACCAATGATCATTAGAAAAAAAATCTTGCTTGTCTCCAATGGGGAAACCCCTTTTTGTGAAACTGCAACTCCTAGTGCAAATTTCCTCCACAAGGGGATAGATCCTCTCGGCAAGTCCATCAGAACGTTATGTTTGAGCAAGTTTGTCTGTCCTTAAGGCAACAGGTTCAAGGGGCTAAAAAGCTTCCTCCAGCTAATTTTCTTTTACGTTCACAGATAAGATTTGATCACGTATGAACTGAAACTGCACTTTACAGCTGGCACCAATAATTCGAAAACAATCCCTGAATCAAAAGACTAAACATTAGATACGACATCCTTGGTTACAAATAGGCTCAGTTACTGCCAGAGGTTAAACATACATAAAACTAAAAAAAAAAATGGAAGAAATCTTACCTCCAAAAACCGAAACATCACCGACAAAATATTTTTTGTGTGGGAACGCAAATGCTCATTTGTTGGAATTCTGTGGATGATTTCAAGGACAAGCTTCCGAACTTGCTAGAAATATACAATTTTCAAAAGAAGTTTCACCATAGAGCAAAGAATACTGGTTTCACTGTACACAAACACACTTAATAGAAAACAAAATATTACAAAATAGATTGACAGATTCTTTCAAAGAACAACTGCCAGAAAATTGTGAATAAATTGCTACTACTTTACAGGGTATTGGTGACTATATACCTACAATACTGTCTGCAGTTTTGGTGTCCTTATTTAAGAAGGGATATACTTGATGGAAAGCAGTGCAGAGAACAGAATCACAAAATCTGAAACAGCACAGAAAAAGGCCATTCAAACCATCATATTGCTGGTTCTCAAGAGGAGAAATTCATGCACTTTCACTCCTCTGCTCCTCCTCACAATCTGCACATTCTCCTTTCTTAAAATATTTAGAAACTGTAGAAACATTTACAGCATAGAAGGAGGTCACTCTCCCCATCACTTCTGCTGTTCGAGAAACTGGCCTCTTAGTCTACTCCCATTTTCTTAACACTTGGTCCATGTCCCTGGATTTCAGGTGCACATTCAGATACTTTCTAAATGAGTTGAGGGTTTCTACCTCTAGTAACCTATCAAGCTGAGAGTTACACACTCCGGCGCCCTCTGACTATAAAAAACATTTCCTCATCTTCCCTCTAATCTTTCCACCAGTCACTTTAAATCTATACCCCCTAGTCGATGGCTCTCGTTAAGGGAAACAGCTCCATCCCATTCCCTCTATCTAGGCCCCTCACAATCTTCTGCACCTCAATCAAATCTCCCCTTAGCATCCTCTGTTCTGAGGAAGACAACCCCTGCCCATCCAATTTTTACACATAACTGCAATTGTTCAGTCCTGGTAACATCCGAAATGGTCTTCTTATGAAGGAAGGTTGAACAGGGTGGACATACATACCTTAGCATTTAGAGGAATGAAAAGATGATTTTACTGAAACACTAGATTCTGAGGGGGTCTGGCAGAATAGATGCTGAGAGGACATTCTCTCGCGTGGGGGAAATCGAGAACTAGGAGGCAGAGTTTATAAGTAAGAGATTAACTACTAAATGCTGATGCGAAATTACCTCGGAGAGTCACTAGTCCTTGGAATTCTCTTTCTCAGGGAGCAATGAAGGAGCAGTCAATGAATATATTCAAGGCTAAGTTAGACAGACTTTTGAATGACCAAGGAAATGAAGAGTTATGTGGCAGAAATATAAGGGGAGTTAAGACCACAGTTAGATCAGTCATGACCACCTTAAATGGTAGAGAAGGCTTGACGAGCTGAATGGTCTATTCCTGCCCCTATTTCTTATTATCAATGTCATGGTGTGACGATATTTTGACAGTACGTGCAGATTATTGACTGCTAAAAATGAATCAGTTCAGGAAGGTCAGTTGCACATAAGAATTCACAGAAAAGCAACTTCTTCACCACAGAACTTAAAGCAACTCCTACAAAAACTCAACTGGACTCACCACATTAACTGAGTGGCCAAGAGCAGGCCAGGAGGTGGGAATACTGCAGCAAGTAACTCATCTCCTGACTCCTCAAAGCTTGTCCACCATCTACAAGGCACAAGTCAGGAGTGTGATGGAATACTCCCCACTTGCCCAATGAGTGCAGCCCCAACAACACTCAAGAAGCTTGACACCATCCAGGACAAAGCAGCCCGCTTGATTGGCACTACACCCACAAGCATTCACTCCCTCCACCACCGACGCTCAGTAGCAGTAATGTGTACTATCTACAAGATGCACTGCAGAAATTCATCAAAGATCCTCAGACAGCACCTTCCAAACCCATGACCACTTCCATCTCGAAGGACAAGGGCAGCAGATACCTGGGAACACCACCACCTCCAAGTTCCCCTCCAAGCCACTCACCATCCTGACTTGGAAACATATCGCTGTTCCTTCACTGTCGCTGGGTCAAAATCCTGGAATTCCCTCCCTAATAGCATTGTGAGTCAACCCACAGCAGAAGGAATGCAGCGGTTCAAGAAGGCAGCTCACCACCACCTTCTCAAGGGCAACTAGGGATGGGCAAGAAATGCTGGCCAGCCAGCAACGCCCACATTCCACGAAATGAATAGAAAATAAAACTGAATGTAGAAAACAGTTGGGTCTTGCAAAAATTAATTTTATAGAAACATAATTTGTGAATGTCTTGGCTGTAAAATAAACAGGTTTATTGTGCAGAAAAAAATTTACATGGAGAAATTGCAAAATTCTGCAGTGAAAAGGTACTAATTAACCACTCCAAATGTGGTCTTAGCAGCCTGGCACTCAAATCTCCACTATTTTAATCAGTGTACCAGACAAAATAAGCTGTGACAGTTCAAAGGTGATGGTCCTAACTTAGGAGGTTATTATTTCATTCACTGACTTGGCACCTTCTTTGAAAGAGCTATCCAATTAATCACACATGCTTGCTCTTCCAACCCTACATTCTTCTGTCCCTAAGTACAATTCAGATCCTTTTCAAAAATTACTGTTAAGCCTGCTTCTTACCTTTCAGGCAGCATACTGCAGGTCATAATTTACTCAGTAAAAACATTAGTTCATTTTCCAACCCCTTCCCACCATGATCATTTCCCAAAAATCTTCTATCTGCCTCCTGTTTACAGGCCAGCATTGTTTATCTTCAACAACTACACAGATAATGGACTCTTCAAGGTCAACGAGAAGTATTACATCAAGGTACAAGCTTGATAAATACATGCAGAGGCAAGGTAAATTAGAAACTCTAACACTTCAATTTTTGATGCTGTTAAAACTATGGAAAAAAGAACATGAAGTTTCTTGACAATGAGAAAAACATGAGATTTAATGCATTCATCAACTTTGCAGATGTACTACCAATGTTTAGTTGCCACAGTAAAGCACAAAGCAACTGCCTTGTCCTTACTTAAACCTGAACACAACGTCTGGCTTACAACTTGTGTATTAAAACAGTTGGAACCTAAAAAGGAGTTTGGTCAAACCCTACACAATGAAGTTTAAATTCTAAACAAGCTCATTAAATGTTTCAAAACTTACTGCCAAAATCTAGTTCAAAAAAATGATCGTTTACCACCCTACCAATTGGTGAGCTTACGTTTATGAATTCCTTCTACAGATGGTTCGCCATAGTTGAGAAAGCCTATTAATTACCACACAAACTATTAGCTCACAGCTGGTGGCCTAAAGTAAAGAAACCTCAGCAAACTTTAAATTAATGCAAGTGCATTACTTTTACACAGCTTTTCTTTGCACAGGAGAACTGATGTATAACATGGTGAGAAGGGAAAAAAATTCCTTATTGGAAAAAACATTTGATTGTTGTGCTAAATATCCATCATAAACAAAAATGATTTAATACAAAGCATATCTGACTATTCAATCTGTGCAGCAAAGTAAGTAATGGGGGTGGAAAATCCTGCAAGGCATTTCCACCACATACCTGGGCAGATTTTTCCTGAAGAAATTGCACTTCCCCGTCTTGCAGGAATGTGAGAAAACGAGGAATGATGTGTTCCAGGAAAGTTGAGTACTGAGGTGAAGTTGTAACATTCTACAAACAAGGGATATTACAGGTATTGCTTATATTATAGAGGAAAAAGAAACTTCAAGAATAATAAACCTAAGATTACAACTATTCAAAGCGTGATACCAAGATTCTCAATTTCATCAACTTTGATGAAGAAAATGAATGAGCACAATACGATTACTTTAAACAAAGAATATTAATTTGCAAATAAATTACTTCCACTATTTCCGTGTTTAAATTTCACTCTGGCAGAACATACAACATTATAACGTATGTATAAGTATCAATTGCTTGTTAAACTTTGAACATCCAAAACTGTATTCTAAAGATATATAACTCATAGAAGTAACAGACAACTTGTGTTCCTCCAAGAGTGAAAGGCAAGGGCAGCAAGTCCAGGGAACCCTGAATGCCAACGTTTATTGAGAGCTTGATAAAGAAAGAGAAGGAAGCATATGTTAGGTACAGAGCATTAAAAATAGGAGAGGAACTTCAGGACTATAGAATGTGTGGGAGAGGTACTTAAAAAAGAAATTAAGAGGGCAAAGAGGGGCCATGAAGTATCTTTGGTAGATAGGATTAAGGAAAACTTCAAAGCATTTTATAGGTAAATTAACAGGGAAAGACTGGGGCTATCAGAGACCCAAGAGGCAATGCGTGCATGGAGCCAGAAGCTGGTGAGTCAGGTCTTAAATGAATATTTCTCATCTGTATATACAATGGAGAAAGAAATTGTAGCTGGAGATTTCAGTTGGGACGGTGATGTTCTCGAACATGATAAGATTAGTAAGGAGTTGGTATTAGACGTTTTAGCAGGCATAAAGGTACACAAGTCCCGAGGACCTGGAGAAATGTATTCTAGGTTGCTGTGGGAGACAAGGGAGGAGATTGCTGGGACCCTGGCAGAAATATTTAATACTGCTCTGGCCACAGGAGAACTGCCAAATGACTAGAGGAGGCTAAGAAGGGATCTGATTGAGGAATACAAAATTATGAGAGACAGAGTAGATCATGAGAATCTCTTCCTGATGTTAGACATGTGTAAGACTAGACAGCACAAGCTTAAGATGACAGGACAGTGATTTAGAGAAGATCTGAGGAAATATTTTTTTCACCCAGGTGGCAATATATGGAACATGCTGTCCGAGAGGGTGGTGGAGGCAAGTACTCTTGCAAAATTTAAGTAACACCTGGGTGTGCACTTAAAATGCCAAGGCATAGTAGGGTATAGACCTAGTGCGGGTAAATGGAATTAGTATAGGTCAGTGTTTGTTGGTCAGCACAAACATAGTTGGCCAAAAGGCCTGATTCTATGCTGTAAGACTCTAAAACTAGGAGAACATGAGGGACATATGTACGGAGCTAGAAGAGGAGGTGGAAAAAGCTTGCATGGAACACCAACATGGCATTGCCCAGTTGGGTTGAACAGTGAATTTCTTGCTACAAATACCATGTCACCCTATTGAACTCTACCACTCTAGTTTGTTTCCTCACTTTATCCAGGTCTTTTAAACTGTCATAACAATATCTTAAATTCAGAAGTATCACAAAGAAGATACTTTCAACTTCACACTCAAGAACACCACCAATGCTGGAAACTTACCTCAAAATTTTCACTGACTTCCTGCATCATTTTCAGTTTGGTTTCATCAGCTGCAAAAAAAAAATGAAGAAATTACTTAGGACTGAAAATGAAAAAGTCAGTTTTGCTCCTGAAGCAATGGTCTGACAGAAGCAATCAGATCTTATCAGTTTTACTAACATCGCCCAAAGCAGAAGGTAGCATCACAATCACACCAGCTCACACACTAAGTACTCACTCACACACAGATGCATACACACAAGCAAGCAGAGCTACCTTCTAAAATATTTGACAGGGCTCTAGCAATTTGTCTCCATCATTTTGCTTCTGCTCAAACTACAATTCATTCTGCTAATTAGGATCAACAGCTTTCAACTTTTCAGAAATGAAGCAACAAAGTTCTGAACGTCATCTTCCTATTTTATAACTGGAATCAAAGTCACTTTAATTTTTTAATTCCTTTCCCATATGCCATTTTAAAAATGTCCATAGGATACTAGGTTTTAGAAATACAGGCAGAAAGTATGAAACAAATGTTAAATCTAAGTCTTCATAAATCTCTGGTTAGACTTCAACTGTAGTTGTACATCTAATTTTGGGCCCCACATTATTTTGAGCAGAGGTATTAAAAGGAAAGGTTAAAACATGTATTCAAAATCAAGAGATTAACAAAGATAACTGTTTGCAAGATCTGGCATTACACTAGATCTGGAATTTCCAATGAGAAAGGGCTCATTAATAATATTTTTGTAAAAGAACCTTTTGGGGAACAGTGATCATACATTGATAGAAGTTTCCGTTAAATTTGAAAAAGATGTAGTTCAATGATGTTCAAAATTTGAAAAAGATGTAGTGTCCTAATTCTAAAAAAAGGGCAATTACAAAGATCTGAGGTTGCCTGTGGTGAATTGCAAAAATACAATAAAAAGCTTGATGGCAGATAGTTAATGCCTAGCATTGAAAGAATGGATGGTTTGCTTTTTGCTTAAAAACCGACATTCCTAAAAGGCAAAATACCAACTGGGAAAGTGTGCGTCATGGTGAACAAGGGAAGTGAAAGTTAGTATTAGACCAGAGGAAGTGAATTTTAAAGCTGCCTAAGAAAACTGTAAGCCAAAGGCATGGGAGAATTCAGCAAAGGAAGACCAACAGACTGATAAACAGAGAGAATAGAATATTAATGTAAAATAGCATGAAACATAAATACAAACAGCAAAAAAAAAATCTACAGGTACGTAAAAAGGCAAAGATTATTAGAGGAAATGTGGGACTATTCCAGGCATAGGTAATAAGAAATAAAACAGTGACAGGGAAGCTAAATAAAAGCTGACTCTGTCTTCAGCGGAAGACATAAGTCATCTCTTGATATTAATATTCAAGGGTCTAGTAAGAGTGCAGAACCAAAATAAATTAGTACCAGTTAAGAAAAAAAGTGGTAAAATGTGAAATTGGAGAAATTAATGTGATTGAGAGTTTTAAAAAAAACCCAGAACCCAATGCCCTTAACCCTACACTTTAAAATAGATGGCTACAGGGATAGCAGATGCCTTAGTATTATTCAAGAATTTACTAATTATGTACGAATATTGAAAGGTTATAAATGTATCCCCACTATTTAAAGCAGCAACAAGAGAAAACCGGGAACTACAGACATGTTAGTCTGATATCAGTAATTGGGTAAATACAAGATTCTATTACAAAGGATGCGATCACTGGATATTTAGAAAATAATCATCTGGATGTGCAGTCAAACTGGATTTATGGAGACGAAATAATGTTTGATATAGAGTTTAGCTGATGACCAGGAGATAATTTAATAATTTTGCAAGCCACAATGAGGCAAAGACAAGATTAATAAAAGACATATCAGATATGTGAAGGTGGTGTAAATTGTAACAGTAGGACAGCAGAAATGGAAGGAAGCACAGAAAATCTAGCTGCACTGACACTGGAGTGTGGTAGGACCCAGGAGTACACTGTAAACACAAAGCCTGAAGTTGTCAGCATATTATACTGCAACAGGTCAGAGCCAACATTTTATCATCCTCTCTAATTCATAAATGTGCAACATTGAAAAAAATTGGGCCGGGGATAAAGCTGAGCTCACAGACGCACAGGTAGCATGTTGTGGTTTTATCTGGAAGAAGTGGTTAGGCTTCAACTGCAGACTGAGAAGATGACATCTCTTATTCCAAAAATCCTACATGAGCAGGAAGTCAGACATTCTCAAACTACTTCACAGTCAAGAACAAGGAAAATTAATTGATTAATCTGATGTATTCCTGAGACAAATAGCACTTTCAATTCTTCCACAATCTTAAACATTGTCAATAGTCAAACTTAATCATGAACATCAATTCCAGCAAGGTGATCTTCAATACAGTAAATAGTGAGTCTACATTCCAGTATACTGTACAATGCAACAGCACTCCTCTGTTCATCATCCTGGAGTGGCAGCAATGACTGCCACTCACAACATAACATACCACTTTGCAAAATACAAACTAAGGTCAAAATGCCAAAAACATTCTAAATAACAGACTACCTATAATTCCTGTGACGAGAATCAGCGTTAACATTTCAGGTCCAGTGACCCTTGTTCAGAATTGATGGTAGCTAGGAAAAAGCATTTTTTATGCAGAAGACAGGAGTGTGGTGTGGGGGTTGGGGGGGATAAGGAGTATACGATATGTGGAAATACAGCCCAAAGACAGAGTGAAGAGAAAGTGAAGTTTCTGACAAGAAACACTCTTTTCAGGTTCCAACTCCACCTCTCGTTTACTCCTTACCCCTTCCTCCCACCCTACCTTCTGCATTTAAAAAAAAACAACTTTTTCCTAACTACCATCAGTTCTGAAGAAGGGTCACCAGAAATGTTAACTCTGATCACTCTCGACGAATGCTGCCAGACCTACTAAACTCTGCCAGCAATTTCAGTTTTCGTTTCTGATTTCCAGCTTCTGCAGTTACTTTATTTTTTTTAACCCGTAATTCCTGGTGGCTGTTGCCACTCATTTATTTCCCATCCCCTCATTACCACAAGATGGACATGGTAATCGTAGTGAGTTACGTTGGACCATTTAGTAGAACAGTTTATTCTGATAAGGTGGTCTGCTCGGCCATTTCAGAAAACCATTAACAATCAACTACATTGGGGTACAGGAAATAAGAGACTAACAAAGATCACCATTCACCTTGCTTACCCTCCTGGTAAATACATTATCCAATAATAACAGATACTGATTAATCGAAGTAATGAATCTCTATCAATAAGTCCATAACTGATCCAGCCATCAGGCAAGGTAAATACCAAGTGCAGAAGAGCTTTGCTGAGAGTTCCCACCTCTAGCACCCTTTCAGGCAATGAATCCCAAAATATAATTTTTAAAATTATACAAAAAATACAACTTTTTTTTCTTGGCACATTAAAGTTCCAAGTGTCATTTTTCCAGTATAACCAACAGTTTCCTACAGACTGTTTTACAAAGAAAGGAGTAATCAGATAGGTGACTGCTGCTATCCACTCACTTCAATCTAGAGGAGATTACTCTACGCTCCAGCATCTGTTTTAAAAACGCAACACTGATCCTGTCTTTTATTGTTCACACATTTCATTTAGTGTACATTATCCCAGAGTGACTTATTACTAACCTGGACGGCTGGTTTGTGCAGAGATTCCAAAAGTGCAGGTTCAATTCCGACACTGGCCGAGATTACCATGAAGGACTCTCCTTCTCAACCTCACCTGAGGTGTGATGACTCTCAGAGTAAACCACCATCAGTTTTCTCTCTCTCGATGAGTCTTATGATCTTCTGCAACTATGACATCTTTACTCACTGACTATTACTAATGTAGCTCTCAGGTCTAAGTTCATATGCACAAGCTGGCTGCTGCATTTCCTACCTTACAACACAGAATTGACTGTAAAGCATTTTAGAATATCCCAAAGCAATGAAAAAGCTGGTGAGATTGGGGGTATCAACAGAAAATTTAAAAACTGAAACTGACAGATATAAATCAAGGCAGAAATTGTTATAACAAACTAGCCGTGATCTAAGTGAACAGGGCTGAATGAACCCAATCCTCCCATTCCTGTTCCAAGTTCCTTCCTTATTCTTTTACTATACTGTGGAAATATTAACCAGGGCCTACAAGAAAGCTGAATAACTCACGTGTGTTGCTGTCCGTCAGAGCAGCCACAAACTGAAGGTACTTCTTCATTAACGTAGTCTGGTCCACCACAGCACCTGGTGTTGCTACAAATGCCATTTTGGGTTAGGATGTATCACAGACAGATGTAGAAGAGATTACTTATGCCAGCATAGTCACAGGGGACCTGAAAATAAATGTGTTTCAATAAATATTTGTAATAATGCAGCTCTCCCACCTTCTCTGTAATATCCTGCATGGGCAGGGGGGAGGGGAATGTGCAGGGGAGGTAGGAATAGGGGGCTAGGTGGACAGGGAGGCAACTGGCAGGGGTGGGCTAGGGAGACGGACTGGGTGCGGGGGGGGGGGGGGGGCTAGGGGGGCGGGCAGGGGGGGCAGGGTGCGGGGGGGCTGGGGGGGCGGGGGGAGGTGGGGGGGGGGGGGGGGGGGGGAGGAGGAGAGGGGGGGTGGGG